CTCCCTCCTCCCTCCTCCCTCCTCCTCCTCCCTCCCTCCCTCCCTCCCTCCCTCTCCCTCCTCCCTCCTCCTCCCTCTCTCTCCTCGTCCTCTCCTCTTCTCTCACTCCTCTCTTCTCTCCTCCTCCCTCCCTCCTCTCCTTCTCCCTCTCCACTTCTCCTTCTCTCTCCCCTCCTCCCCATCACATCACCCTCACCCTCACCCTCACCCTCACCCTCACCTCCTCCTCTCCCTGTCTATCCTCCTCCTCCTCCCTTCTCCCTCTTTCCACACTCTCTTTCCTACCTCCTCCTCCTCTCCCACTCAACCTCTCTCTTCCTCCCTCCCCCTCTCCCTCCCTCCCCCTCTGTAATGCCAAAAGCTGATGTTTTATCCAGTTAACGATGAGAATCATCTGCAGCTGCAAATGATTCCAATGGTGGACACCTCAAAAATTGAACACTCCTTTGCTAACACATCTAAGTTAGCAATTATGCATAAAACTCAATTTATTGGGTGGTTTGAAATCACCAGCTCGTGCACTTATGTATGAGCAGTATAGGTTTTCGACGGGATACATGTGCTTGATCATGACCAGCAAAGGATGAACATTCTGTTGAACAAGATTCAAGCCAGCAGACTCTCAGGTGGCTAATTAAGTGAATCTGTCATCCCACATATACCTTTGTTCAGTTTGAAATTAACTGACCATTTTATATCCTTAGAAAATGTTCTATTAAACAACAGTTGTTTTGTTGTGTTATAGTGCCTATCTTACTCACAATATTTATAAGGATGGTTCCTGTTGCAGCAGGGTTTTGGAAGAAATATTAAGAAAAAATGTGGATTATAGACCATCTCATCAATAACTATAATTAGAATTTGCCCATTAATTTTTGAGTTGCCATTATGCATAGGCTCATAACCATTTAGGTGCAAGAGCAGAGGGTTTGGTGAATTTATTATTAATTTTGCATCTAACTAATTTTGCCTAATTTCCATGAAGTAATAGTCTAATATGTTCTATTTACATATTGTTACATCTTATGTGTGTAATAATCCATGATTTTAAAACAAATTTTAGATAGGTGGATTATACCTTTGTTATGCTGCCTTTGTTTTATTGGGCCGAATGTTCATCGTCAAACCTCTGTCCAAAAACTTCTCAAAAATTCAATTAGGGCCTAGTCCCTAAATGAAAAAGATAAGAGGCAGGACATTCCACTGACCATGAAGGGAAGTCATTAGAGAGATGCAAGGGTGGAATAAGTGATTTATCAGTTATCATTTTTTCACTTCTTCCACAATGCTTAGGACCAGAGGTGGTCCCAACAAGAAAGCTACCATAGTGCTTAGCTACTGTCAGTTTATAGTGTTTTGTTTCTTTTGTTTTGTTTTGTTTTTTCTTGTTCTATTGGAAACAATTGAAGAATTTTAATTTCAGTAATTTTTTAAAAACTGTGTTTACGTGTGTGTGTGTGCGTGCGCGCGATATTGTGATTTTGTACTAGCATGCATGTGGGTGAGAGAAAGAGAGAGTGTGGGTGTGGGTGTGGGTACGTGGGTGTGTGGGTTAGATAGAGAGAGAGTGTGAGTTTAAGAGTAAGAGCAAGTGAGTCAAAAAGATAGTTTACCAGAACATTGAAAAGAAAATGTAAAGCTTTTAAACCTTGCTCTCAGCAAGATTGTAATGATGACATTCTGTCTTGACTTGGATGGGTACTTTCCCTCATTGTGCAGTATGCCCATATATCTTTGTCTTTACATCCTTTTTGTACTGTTTACCACCATTGACTCCCAGCAGGATCTCCTCACTTCAGGGACTTGTAATCTAGATCCACTCACAGCTCTCACAGTAAGTCTTTCCTGTTTAAATCGATAATCTCAGTTATGAATTTAATCTCTCTAAGATCTTTTCCAAACATTGTTCCTGTGCTGTTTCTCTACTCGTTAACTTTAGTGAGGGCGTGAGGGCTTGAGCCATTTAAGTGTGAGGGAAATTTGATTTGCTTAGTTGATTTTTTTTTTTTCTTTCTTTCTTTTTTTTTTTCTTTTTTTTCTCTCTCTCTCTCTCTCTCTCTTTCTTTTCTTTTCTTTTCTTTTCTTTTCTTTTTATTGAATATTTTATATGAAAAAGTACATCAATCTGAATGGCATTTACTTCCTTTACTTAGATTCATGCAATGATTGACATCCCTTTTGCTCATTTCATATATTTCTTTCATCCTTTGTTTTGTAATGCACTGGGAAAATAGGCATTATTTATGTAGATTAACTTCTCTCCCACCAGTCATCTTCTTTCCCTTTCCTTTGCTAGTCTCACTCTAATCTCTACTATTTCCCATTTCAATCCTCTCGTCCATGCCTGTCACATTAACATTCTTTCCTCTGTGGAATAAATCTGTGAACTAAGGAGAAATAGAGTTCTGGCAAGTATTTCAGATATGATTTACAGTGGAGATTCAAATACACGTTTTCTCAGTAATTATTATGATTGATTATTATCTCAATGAATGTCTGT